TTTTCAATTAAAACCCCCAAAATAACTGACAACGTTTGATGATATGGCCTTGTGCCCAAAAAAGTTCAAATAATTTGAAAACAAATGCCCGCAAAATTAAAAAAATAGGTCATCGTGACCTACTTTTGAGTTAACATGATGTGAAGTCCTAAGATGCATCTACTTACAAGATTTGATGATCCTAGTCCTTATAGTAAGCAAAATATAGACATTTTCATTAATTGAAAATTTAGGTCAACTTTGAAGTGACCTTGAGACCACGCCCTTTGCCCCAGGGTCATGCCTTGAACAATTTTTAATCTTCAACATATCCTGATCATTGTATGTAAGTTTGGTGAAAATCTGCCTGGTGGTTCGGGAGAAGAAGATTTTTTTGCAACCAGTACTGTTAGTTTTGTTTTCCTGCTTCTCTCCCCTTGTTTTAGGGGCTCCACCCTTATTTTAGTATAAATGGTAGCCCTTGGGCCAAGGATACCCTGTGACAAATTTGACACTGATTGGCCGAGGGGTTCTTGAGTTATGGCCCATATTCTAAGAAGTTAACGCACACCGCACACCACACGACGCACACCGCACAAATGGCCATAGCATTAGCTCTTTGAGCCTTTTGGCTCAGAAGAGCTAAAAAGAGTTATCTACAATAAAGCGCATTGAAGTTTTAAAAATATACATTTGAATGAAACATTTGAAGGGTTCTTATCGAAGGACAATTTTTACATAGATAATGATAAGCCCATTTATTTACAAACAAGAAAGAAATATTCGTCGTAATGCTTATTTTAGGACATCTAACTCTTTGCTAATAACAACATGAGTTTAATTGAAATTTATAAGACAGAATTTACCGTAGTTTAGGATTTACCGCTACTGTATAACACGTTATTTTAACGAATTTGCCCGTAACTTGAATTTTGATGATCATTGGAGTTACCATAACACATGCATCGGTCGAACACGTGCTTACATGTACTCGGTGTTTATGTAGACCGTCAGTTTAATTGTCTAGAAGTAATATAGTTAAATAATTATGGAAGACCTGTTAACAGGTATTAGAGTGAACCATTTGACCAATATTTTTCCTTTCTAAAGAAATAAGCGTGTTGTTATAAAATATGACAATCAACTAGATAGCATAAAACGTTCCTTTCAAACGGAAATGTTTACCGCGTCATAATTGTAAGTATTACAAAAAAAAAATCAAATGAGAATTTCAAATAGTTTGATTTCGAATTTTGGATATTCAGCAAAATGTCTTTATAATTCTACATAGTTTTGTTTTTATAGGAGACCTGACCATAACCCCTCGATACGGCCCACTGTTACAGCACACACACACACACACACACAAAATAATATGAAAATCAGAATTTAGCATAGTATGCATAACACCAATATTCCAACACACAGGGGATGCAATTATACAGATAAACTAACGGCGTGGTGGAACACATTTTTCGAGTATACACAATCTGTAAGTAGGTGAAGGTTATTCCTTAGTGTTTTGATTTCTCTTGTTGTCTTCTTTCCTGTTCCTAAACAGTGCAACTAAGAATTAATTTAATCACCACAACCATTGGATACTCAAGCGTTTTGTGTGTGTATATTGTTTATGGAATACAATTTTAAGAAAAATTAAATTATCAAATTAATTTTTATGATTATATGTATAAAAGTTGATGAACAAACACGACCTGTTTTAAGACGTATTCTTTATTCCCTAAAAATAAATTACAATAACGGTATATTTTATAATACTGTAACAAACCTGAACTTTTAGTAAACCCTGCGGACAACAAGCATCGAGTGTATAGGCATAACTCTGATGAATGGTTTGCTGGACAGAAATCAATATCATGGAGCAGATGCTTCAGAACTTCAGGATAATGAAACTGTCGATATACATCTTTTTCTCTTTAAAAGTAAGGGTAATCTTAAAATTGAATTTTTACCGTTTGACAAATGATAAATAAATTTCTTGAGCATATGTAAAGGTTTTTAATATTCATAAATGTCGAAAAATAATTGTTAGGAGGAAAGCGATCGTCAGTTGTCATGGAAGAGTCAGATTGTCCTTCAAGGTGTACATAGAGCCTCAGGATCAGCAGTTATTACTGTGTCAAACAGTGGTTTTGCTTTGGCTATAAGGGTAACATCTGCAACCAAAAGAAGAGGACAGTAAGTCAATGGAATGTCAAATTAATAACATACACTTGTATTCAAATATTTTACCCCATCTGTAAAAAAAAAAAAAGAACTTTTTTTCAAATACTAAGTACCACCTAAATCCATTCAAATGAATTGAGGAAAGATGCAAGTGAATTCCAGATAGGTCTAGTAGAATTTAAGATAAATGTAAATAGGCATAAGTACCATGCAGTAAACACGTATCTTTAAATAATTGAATCTAGGTTTTAAATAAAGAATTTATCTTTACATCGCAAATCCCACTGCGGGACTTGAAAACCAGTCTTTTGTATGAAATCGTCAAATCTCGACATTCTTGGCACAAAAAAGCCCTCATTACTCAATAGCTCTCTGAAGTCCATAGTGCTGAGTGCAGTTCTAAAGCAGCCCTTTACTAGATATTGGCTGCGCCTAAATGAATGACAAAAATTAGAAGGGACGTAAATTTTTTTTACCAACCAAGCATTTCCAGACAGATACCTTCATTACAGATAGGTTTAGTTAAATTATACAATTAATTTGAAGAATTTTTAGCTGCAGAACTGTATCTCTCTCTCGAGAAAATTCGGAAAAATAAAACAGAGATCTACAGATCCATACCTTTGTAAAAACCTTGGATTTACGCATCTGATGTTTTGTTGCTGCTTTAAGGTATTATTTCTTGGAGTTTATGCTTTTTTACGCTCTTGGCACGGTATCTGATAATTAATCAAAGATTTTACTCCAATTATTGATACTTTACCTTTCAATGTTTCAAAACAGTCCATTGTGGATTTGGAATGTCGGTTTAAAGGATTCCCATTTCTACGTCCACATCCACAAACGGCCCTTCTTAAACCGTTGAAAGGAAATAAACATTTATGAATAGGAATTTAATGTATGGTTAATTATTGGATATTATTTATAAAGCTGGGAAAAACATAAAATATAAGAAATATACCTGAAGTGACCGACAAAAAATCAGCGGCGTAGATCAAAGATTTTTACATCGCATGGATCTAGATCTTTGCGTCACCTGTCCGAATTTTTTCAAGCAGAGAGCTACAGTTCTGCAGCTAAAGGATTTTATAACTGATAAGCTAGATACACTTGATTTAAGGGTCCTCCACACACACAATAAAAGAATATATAGGTATAAATTTATGAAGATGGATAAAAATAATTGAGTCTGAGGATGTTAAAATGTTGTTCTATTCAATGTAAGTAAAATTTAATTAGGGGCCTAAAAGATTACTTATTAATTCTGTCTTAGAATACATTAATAATTATTAATTTTATAAATAGAAAAAAATTATTAAAGAAATAAAAAATGAATTATAAGAGTTGAAAGAACAACTGCCAGTGATTACATTTTTTTGTATCTATAGGGCCGATAGAGGAATTTGGTCTGACATATTTCCCGTGGCCCTACCACCAGATCAAGCGTACATCTTCTGTCATGATTGGCTAAAAAATGAAACGCAACTACCCAAATTGTCGACTAATGATGAGCAGCCATGTCCATGTACTTTAGACCAAGCTCTACTGGACATAGTCAGATTTCAACCCGATCCAGATTGCAGCATGTTTAGTCGTACTTCGCCGTATTCCCGTACTGGTAATTGTCTGCATAGAAGAGACGCCACCCATTGTATTCGTTTAGTTAATTTAGGGTAAGAGAAGTTAAAAAATTTGACTAAACAAATGTTTCATATTTTCCAGCTAAACAAAACAATTTTAACAAGAGGCCCAGGGGCCACATCGCTCACCTGAGCAATTTGCTAGGAAAAAGCACATATCAGATCAGAACTGAAAGTTTACTGAGTTGGGGGGGGGGGGGCTTGAATTTTAACCTCCAATGGGGTCAAATTAGAATCTACACTACTTGAGAATGATTCCATATAAATATCACTAAGCATGGATTTGAAGTACTTGAAAAGAGGATTTTAAAAGTTTTCGCTATATATACCTATGTTAAACTTTGATCGGGTATTTTGGCCCCACCCTACCCCCGGGGGTCATGATTTGGACAAACTTGAATCTACACTACCTGAGGATGAATCCACATGAGTTTCATCTTTCCTGGCCCAGTGGTTCTTGAGAAGATTTTTAAAGATTTTTCCTATATATTCCTATGTAAAACTTGGGTCGGCCATTTTGGCCCCACCCTAGCCCCGGGGGTCATGATTTGAACAAACTTGAATCTACACTACCTGAGAATGATTCCACATGAGTTTCATCTTTCCTGGCCCAGTGGTTCTTGAGAAGAAGATTTTTTAAAAAAGCCACTTATTTTTCTCTAATTCATAATTATCTCCCCTTGGAAAAGGGCGTGGCCCTTCATTTGAACAAACATGAATCCCCTTCACCCCAGGATACTTTGTAGCAAGTTTGGTTGAAATTGGCCCAGTGGTTCTTGAGAAGAAGATGAAAATGTGAAAAGTTGACAACGACAACGACGACAACAACGACGACAGACAACGGACAAATTTTGATCAGAAAAGCTCACTTGAGCCTTTGGCTCAGGTGAGCTAAAAAGTACACATTTGAATTGCTTCGTTTTTAAAATTGTATTTTTCATCAAAATAGGCAACAAGGAGTCGACAATTTGTGCTGCTACGACAATGCAAATAACCTAATCGACTCAAGAGTAAAGGAAGGAGGGAGCATTCAGAGATATCATTATCTTGGTGGACATAGAGTGCAACCATACATCACAAACTTTTATTTTGACGTTCTACCATTCCTTCACTGTTGCCGATATTCTCTAAATGTTATAGGGATTGGATCCTCAGGTGTTTCAAATTTATGTCCTAGTTACTTCAAACACAGAAAGTTCAGTTCGTGCAAGAACTATATCCCACCGAGACCAGGTAACTCATCATTTAAATAGAAATGTCTATAAAGATAAATATTCCTCACTGCATGAATTCCAGTTACCCATGCATAAACCAACTAAGTTGAGCTGTAGATAAATGTTCCATGTTTCTCTTCTCTAATCCTGTCGGCTACGTGGCACAGTGGTTAAAGCGCCTGCTCTAGAGTCGCGAAGTAAGAAGTTGATCCTCACGTCGCGGGTTCCAATCCTATTGTGGGACGTGGAGCCCGAATGAAACCGTATAAACCGAGGTCCCGTGTCACAGTAGGTGCTGGGACAAAAAAGATCCCTCCCAGCTCAATGGGCCTGAGTGACGAGTATAAGACAAAATTTGCAGCTTTCCACCGGCAAGTGGTGGCGTTTCCATATGAGTGAAAAATATCTGGAGAGGGACGTTAAACAATCTACAATCAATCAATCTTCTCTAATCATACATTAATGTTTCGTATAAATATTTGCAGCTCGGACCAATGGAGATCCTCATATTACTACTCTGGATGGCTTTCAATATACATTTAATGGTGTGGGAGAATTTATGTCTTTATGAAAACCGTAGACGAAAGATTTCAAAGCCAGATAAGATTTGAGCAATTTAGAAAAGAAAACGGTAAGTTATGAATATATGGAACCAAGCAGAAAAATATTCAGTACGTCTATGCTGGTCATCTACATATTGGACTATATTTTCTTTAATACTCTTTGTTCACACAGGAGATTTGGTTGATGCAAGCATATGCACTTCCTTTGTTTCACAAGATTCGAATAATTCTGCCGTCGTAGAAGTCCGCCTCAACTCGATTAGAATTGTAGACGTTTTAGTCAATGGAGATGTTATAGACTTTGACGAGTCCAATGCCCATCAATTTCAAGGTTACAATGAAATTATTTAAAACTTTGTCCCGAGACTCCAATTCTTTTTCTTAATTTTTCATTTATACTTACAAGGTACAACTTTGACATTGTTACTTTTTAAGGTGTGACTGTTATGAAGCTTGAAACAAATTCGACAAACTCGAACCTGACCAAAAAGGAGTTAATTGTATCTTTTACCACAATGGGCATCGCATTCAAAGCTGTAGCGAGTTCCAGTGTGCTCAATGTCCTTCCAGTCGTTGGGAATACTTCACTTGCCGGTAAGTATATTTTCGTTGGAGTATTTAGGTGGTTGGGGAAGAGTCAGTAACTTAAATTTGGTCTCTTTTTCTGTCTCACCCTTGCAAATGATACGAAATAGTGTCTGAGAATATAGTGACTAACCAAATAACTTTTGCTAACAGGAAACATACAGGGAATACTTGGAAATTTTGATGAAGATCCAAACAACGATTTGCAATCCCCAACAGGGGAGATTTTACAGCCAAACTCTACAGCAGAAAAGATATACGATGATTTTGGAATATTATGTAATAATTTTACAATCTGATTTGAATATATTCTCTCTCTTTCTCTTTTATTTCATTTAATTTAAAAGTAATAAAATATATAATTGAAGGGAGAATACTAGAAAATGATTCACTGTTCACTTACGAACCGGGAAAGTCCTACGGTGACTATCAAAAGTTATCCTTCCGTCCCACGTTTGTTACTCCAACAAATCTCCCCCCGGAAGTCGAGGAGCTTTGTGGAGAGGATGAAGAATGCTTGTTCGATTATGCAATGACAGGATCGGCTGAACTGGCTGTCGAAACACAACAGTTCACAGTGGTTTTTAATACTTCTGTAGGAGCTTCATATCAAAGCAAGTATATTAGATGTGATCTTAAATTATATTTTTTAACAAATGTATCAAAATGGTAAGTATATACATTAATTTTACATTGTTTAAAATGATTGTTATATTTTATGTTTCTCTTTTTAAAAAACGCAAGATCAAAAATTATGCAATGTGAATTCTAGATAAAATATTGCCATTTGATATAACTATACTATAATACTGTTTTCGCTTATACTCTACATAAATAATGCAAATACAAATGAACTATAATATTTTTTTCTTTCTCTCCCTTTCAGTAAAGAATTGTGATGATTTACCAAGCGTAGAGGGAGGAGTCTGGAATGCATCAAGCACGATAGAAGGGTCCATCGCTACATTTTCCTGCTATCCCGGTTATGAAATGGAAGGAGAAAGCAATGAAATCACCTGCAGAAACACATCCTGGGGTGATTTTGGCAATTTTACTTGCAATTTAATAATCACTAGCTCTACATTTGACTCTACAACAGTTTTAGTAAGTACAGACAGCACTGCTGACTCAGTTACTACTTCTGTTGTGGAAGAAACAACGATTATACCAACCGATACTAAAAGTACAACAAGTAGTTCAACTGAAGGAACCATTACAAGTACATTACAGGGTACTGCAAGGTGGACAACAGCTGACGCCTCAACTCAAAATTTTCCTCAGAAGCCACCACCACCGGTTCAACTACTACAAATTTTCCTTCAACGGAAGATTTAGCAAATACGGTTAAAACCACAGAGATTTTTACAGAAGATTCTACCACTGCTGCAGCGTCATCTACCACAACAGTAAGTTTTGAAGAGGATATGACTTCTCCAAGTATAGAAAGTACCACTGAACATACCACAATGGCGTCAACATCAAACATGTCATTTCCCACTACTGCACCTAACAATACAACTAGTGAAGACTTTACAACTTTATCTTCCACTGTAAGAAGTACAACTGGTCAGTCTACCATTATTTTATCTACAACCTCAGGTAGCATTCCAACAGACACTTCAACTCAAAGTGAATCAACGACCAAAGAGTTGGACGATGCAACGGAGTCTCCAGTGCAGAGGGCGGTTCAACAAATAGACGATTTCATTAAAGAGAATTACAAATATTTTATCATTGGATTTGTTTTTGTTGGTATTTGTTCCGTATTACTGGGAATTCTGATTTATAGGTAATTGTAAACTTCGTCTTTTTCCTCCTTGTAAAGACTATGCAAAGAGTCTCTCATAATAATTTGAATCAAAACTAAATTGTTTGTTTTTCATGTATGGTTTTTAAAACGACTTTTAAAACACATAAATTAAATATTACAATTATTTCTTGATCTAATATCACTCTTGATTAATACATATTAAAAAATAAACCACAATGGTACTTGTAAAACTATACTGAAATCAAAAGGACCTTATTTTACATGTTACTTTTTTCAGAAAATGTGTTAAATCAAAGAAACCTGAGAACTTAGAGCACTGGCATCCCCAGAGAGGCCGAGACTTGACCACGGCAAACCATCTTTCGAATCAAACTCGCCATAAGAATCCTTTATCTGCTTATTCTGTTGAACAAAAAACTTCCTCAGATGGCTTTAAATTTTATAAGTATGTTGAAAGTTCCAAAATATAATATGATTTATTTATATTTGTATTGTTCACTTGATTCTGCGTGTTTTGATATATTTCTCAAGACAATTTCAGTGGAAAATTGAGGGGTACAATCATAAACTCGTTATGTCTAAGAAACTTGAAAGTTGTTTCATTATATATACACACATGTAATGTCATTATTATGTCTTAATTCAATTACATGATTAACTTTTTTGAACACATATTTGGGCGAAGAAGCGCACGCCGATTGCATTTTCTGTACGACCTTACCTTGGCATTCAAAAAATACATGAGGAAATTAAAACATACACAATGTTAGCATAATTATCATACGGAAAAAACACACAAACTATAGAAAACTCAATCAACGTTAACAAAATATTTACTCGATATAGTAAGAAAATTGCACAAACGTAAAAATGGAAACTGCAACGAGTGATAATACATAAAAATGGAAACGACCTAATCCTATATGTCATCTCGACGTCGTATTGTCAATTACAATGGTAATTTCTTTTCCCATGTCGATACGATATATCCTAAGGAACTTGAGATAAAGTGTACCACAGAATGACAGAGTCTGAGACATTTGTTTCATATTTTACTTGAAAAAGGCGTTAATGGTTATCAAACAACCAAGGTCTATGATAAACGTGATGAATTTAACTTTTCAATCTTCAACTTCCCTTACTTATGCAATACGCGCTCGTATATCGTCATCACCTGCAAACGGAGTTTATATCACTCAGTTACTTCGATAAGCAAGAGAACACACTACGTATGAACAATTTCTAAAAAGAGGTATATTATTGACATACAAGTTGATGAAGCAAGAATATCAGCAGTTTCGTTTAAAGTCATCATTTCGTATGTTCTATGGTTGATACAACGACCTTGTCAGCAAATACATATACATGTACAATTTATCATTGATTCAAATGTTGACTGACGTTTTTTATACTAGTTGTTAGTCTATTATTTACATGTAAACACTGAATTGACGACGGATTTTTACTTATTTCCCGATAATGTTACGGAGCTCACGACGGGTTTTACCGGTCGGCAGGGGATCCTCACTCCGCCATGAAACCCACCTCGATGTTTTGGAGGTCCGTGTTTGCTCTGCTCCTATTTTGTATTGTTTTATGTACTTTTGAGCTTGAATACTGTTGGTTATGAAGACTCTATGCATAGGAAATGTAAAGAAAGTTTGTCAAATCTCGAGCTCCATGCAGAACATGATTTATGTGCGTTTCTCAAGAGCGATAAACTTGTTATATCTTATTTTTTTTATCTTACCCATTCCCATGGCCCAACGATTTTAAATTTAAATGAATACATGGATTCAGATCTTGTGACTCTAATCGATGAACGAACACGATCCGACATTAATTATGCGTTTTCCCGGTGACAGGGTCATTTGAGTAAAGTTTTCTATTTTATTTGGACACACAATACAAATTGGGCACAAAACACCAAACCGTATATACATCAAAAACCTAGATTATTTATTCTTTGAATGATTAAAACAGAAAACATATCAAATATTCTACATAACGCTTACCCTTAAAAATGTACATGTCTTGTTTTTTGTCGTATAATTTATTTACAGGTCTCGTACTTTATAATTAAGAAAACATATATACACTGTAGTTAGATATTTTATTTTTTAATATTAAGAATCATTTTTAACAGAATTTTCATAGGAAATATTATGACCTTACTAAAATTTAAGAGAAGACGTCGGTTTTATGTACATGTATAATGAAGAAAAGTATAGAGTTCTGAATTTTTATTATCATGCAAGTATATTAATTGAAAAAACTAGCTTATGATTCATGAGAAAATTGTGAACTCAAGTTTGACTTAGCTTAATATAGACCTCGCTAAGTTTTCTTTTGTAGAAATATGTGAATAAAATCTGCTTCCTGAGAATAAAAGTAAATATTTTATTTTTATGATATAAAAACAGGTTAGCTAATGAAGATGCACAAAAAAACCATCAGGATTCCAACAGTTCGTTTGGAAGACTTGGTCTCCGAAGACTGCAAAAATGTAGCCAGTGAGGAACTCCAGAATCTTTTTATTGTCGATTTCAGACCAATCACATTCCACTGGGTATCTTTAATTTGACCCTTTGACCTTGATGTTTGACCTATATTTTAAGAAACTTTAATATTGGACATAACTCTTGAATGGTTGGTGCTTGGAAATTCATGTTTCAAGGATATATTAAACGAGACAAGTCCTTTCTTGGGTACAACCTTCTTGATCTCTTGGCCTTGGAATTTGACTTGCATTCGAAATACTTTAACCTTCGACAAAAGGTGGTATAAGGGGGCATCGGTGTTTCACAGTTTAATACCCAGGAGCAGAAAAAAGATTTTTTAAAAAAAAAGCACTTTCACTGTATTATTTATACAGCCTGCCCTGGCATTAGAACCCAATGACCCTAGGGATATGAATTTCACAATTTTGGTAGGCTTAACTTATACAAACATGCCAACAGTTTGACTGTTTGATGTCCGGGAGTAAAGAATATTGATTGATTGTATGCTGTTTAACGTCCCTTTCAAGAATTTTTCACTCACATGTAGATGCCACCACTTGCCGGCAGAGAGCTGCAAATTTTGTTCTATACTCGGCACTTAGGGCCATTGAGCAGGGAGGGATCTTTTTCGTGCCAGCATCCACTGCGACTTTAGAGCAGACGTTCTTACCGCTACGTGACGCGGGCGACCCAAACGTTGGTACAATAGTACCATTGCTCTGTCCTTGCACTACATCGCTTCATTTTTATCTTACTTTCACATCATTGCGCTATTCATTTAATTTACAGACTCATTAACATCGTATTATTGCCCTATTGCATCATTGTTTTAATGATATCGCTTTATCGTCATTGCACCATCACTTCAACATTGTCATCGCACTACTAGTATCTCGTAGCAGCCCACCGTTTACGGTTGCTCAGTCGGTAGAGCGCTCGCTCCTTGATCGCGAGGTCCCGTGTCAGGGCAGGCGTTGGTGCGATAAAGATCCCTCACTACTCAATGATTCTGAGTGACGAGTAAAGGTCAAAATTTGAGGCCCTTCACCGGTTTATATACATCAGAGGAAACTTCTCGAATGGGACGTAAACCAACATACACATAATCATGCAATCTTAGTCGCCAGTCTTTTTAGGTCACCCGAGTCATATATTGCTATCTGTGTTGTCCGTCGTCGTTCGTAAACTGTTGAACAATTTCAGCTTCTCTCGCTGGAACAAACGAAACAATTTCAGCCAAATTTGGCATATACATGAAGCATCTATGGGTGACGGGGAGTAAAAATTGGGAAAGTCTTCCCCCAGGGCCTGAGGGGTGAGCTAACACCTTAGAAAAATTCGTGCAATCTTTAAAAATATCTTTACTCGTCGCCCGCGTGGTGCAGTGGTTATATAGCGTCTGCTCTAGAGTCGCGAAGTAAGGAGTTAATCCTATTATGTCGCGGGTTCGTATCCCACTGTGGGACGTGGAGACCGATCCTTCGGATGAGACCGTATAAATCGAGGTCCGTGTCGCACGCGCAGTAGGTGCTGGCACGAAAAAAATCCCTCCCTGCTCAATGGCTCTAAGTGCAGATCATGGGTCAAAAATTTGAAGCTCTCCACCGGTAAAGCTAGAATAAGAGCTAGAGCTAGAATAAGAGTTAGAGTTAAGCTGCAAGGGTTACGGTCAGGGTTAGGCTTAGGGCGAAGGCAAGAATTCGACTCCACTGGCAAATAATTTAATATGAATCCGGATGGGGCTATGAATTTCACTATCAAACTATCGAGCATCGAATAAAGGGTAGATGCAGATGGCGCAATAACGATGAAAAGATGGGATAATGATGATGAAGAGATGGTGCAATTTAGTGAGATGACGATGATGTGATGACTGATGGTGCGATAGCAGAGATCCCGGTGTAAAGACGAATAATGACCCCCATCGAATAATGACCGGGGGTCATTTTTCAACGACAAAAAATGACCCCCTACCCGTAGAAAAAAATCATTTTTTGCAGAAAAGTGTCATAGGGGTCATTATTTTATATGTTATTCCTATAAAAAATTGACCCCCATTGAAAAATGACCACCTTTAAAGTGAAA